CCATTTCTAATAGAGGGATGTTGAGGTCTCCAACTATAATGCTGGATTCATCTGTTTGCCTTTACAGTTCTATTAGTTTGTGTCTCATGTACTTTGATACTGTTTTTAGGCAGATAATCATTAACAATTATTATATCTTTTTGGAGAATTGACTCCTTTATTATTCTGTACTGCCCTTTTTTATCCCTGATATTAATTATCCCTGAAATTAATATAGCTACTCCTGGTTTCTTTGACTAGTGTTACCATGGCATATTTTTATCCTCCCATTTACTTTTAATCTATCTATCTATCTATATATATCTTTATATTTAAAGTGGGTTTTTTGTAGACAACACATAATTAGTCTTACTTTTTATCCACTCTAACAATCTCTATCTTTTTATTGGTGCATTTGGACCATTGATGTTCAAAGTGGTTATTGATATAGTTGGATTAATATCTACCATTTTCATGACTGTTTGCTATTTGTTGTCCTTGTTCTTTGTTCCTATTTTTGTCTTGCGTTTTTTTCTGCCTTTTTTGGTTTTAATTGAGCATTTTATATGATTCCGTTTTTTTTCTTTCTTAGCATATTGGTTATACTTCTTTTTTTGCTTTTTTAGAGTAAAAGAAAGGGTGTGCAATATACATTACAATTAATCCAAGTCAACTTTTCAATATCACTATACCACTTCAAGGGTAGTATGAGTACCTTGTAATAACAAAATAATGCTAATTCCTACCCCCCAGCCCTTGTATCATTGTTGTCATTCATTTCACTTATATATCAGCATACATAAGCACATAAATGTATATACAAACATACATCATTGAATACATTGTTGGTATTATTAATTTGAACAAACTGTTATCTGTTAGGTCAACTAAGAATAAGAAAAATAAAGTTTTTATTTGACTTTCACTTATTCCTTCTTCAGTGCTCTTCTCTACGTTATGTAGATCCAAGTTTCTGACCTATATTCTTTTCCTTCTCTCTGACGAACTTCTTTTAACATTTCTTGAAGGCAGGTCTATTGGCAATACATACCCTCGATTTTTGGTTTTCTGAGAAAGTCTTTATTTCTCCTTCTCTTTTGAAGCATAATTTCACAGGGTACAGAATTCTAGGTTGGTGGGTTTTTTCTCTCAGTAAGTTGCACTCCACTCTCTTTTTGCTTGTGTGGTTTCTGAGAATTCAGGTGTAATTCTTATCTTTGTTCATCTATAAGTAAGGTGTTTTTTTCCTCTGGCTTCTTAACGGATTTTTTTTTTCATCTTTGATTTTCTCTAGTTTGAAAATGATACACCCAGGTGTGGTTCTTTTGGCATTTATTCTGCTTGCTGTTCTCTGAGCTTCCTGGATCTGTGGTTTGGTGTCTGACATTAATTTCTTCTGTTTCTCTCTTTCTTTCTTTCTTCTTCTTCTGGTATTCTCATTGTGCATATGTTACACCTTTTGTAGTTGGATATTCTGTGCTGTTTTCTTCAGTCTTTGTTTTCTTTGCTTTTCAGCTTTCTAGGATTCTATTGATCTATTCTCTAGCTCAGAGACTCTTTCCTCAGCTGTGTCCAGTCTGCTAATAAGCCCATCAAAGACATTGTTCATTTCTGTTACAGTGTTTGTTAACTCTGGCATTTCTTTTTGTTTCTTCCCTAGGATTTCCATCTCTGCTTACATTGCCTATCTATTCATGCATACTGTCTACTATGGTCATTAGAGCTCTTAGCATATTAATCATAGGTATTTTAAATTCCCAGTCTGATAATTCCAATATCCCTACCATGTCTGGTTCTGATGCTTGCCCTGTCTCTTCAAATTGTGTTTTTTGCCTTTTGGTATGCCTTGTAATTTTTTTCTTGATAGCCAGACGTGGTGTTCTAGGTAAAAGGAACTGCTGTAAATAGGCCTTAGTCATGTGTAGTGAGGTGTGGGAGGAGAGTTAGCATCCTATGGTTCTTTGATTAGGTCTCAGTTTTTTAGTGAGCTTGTGCCTCTGGGCTGTGAACTTCACAAGTGTCTCTCCACTTTCTTCTCCCCTCTTAAGTGGGACAAGATGAGTAGAGTGGGCTAGAGTTGGGTATTTCCCTTCCCCCAGGTCAGTTAAACTCAGATAAAACTATAGCAGAATAGATCTGGGTTAACTAGTTTCCCCTGAGGATAGGCCTTGTTAAAAAGAGCAAAGGACTCTAGCATATTTCAGAATGGTTCCTCCGCCCCCCAGAAGTGTGAGGGGATTTTTCTCCAGTATTTACTGTGAAGACTGGTCAAGCTCCTGGCAGTACATCTTACAGTATTGTGGGGACCCCCCATGATTGGGTCCACACTGACCCTCCAGCAATTCATCAGTCATGGTTCAGGTTTCCCTACCCCAGCCCTCGTTCTCAGGGTGGTTTCTACTCATGAGTCTGCTCCGCTGAGCCGCGACTCCCTGTATTCGCCTGTCTGCCTCTCCAGTTGTGGGGGCGGGGCTCTACCCTCTGTCCTTCCCTCTCTTGCAGATCCAAGAAGAGTTGTCGATTTTCAGTCTGAACAGCTTTTTCTTGTTGTTAGGACTGTGTGGCAACTTCCGAGCTCCTTGTATGTGGAAATAGAAACCAGAAGTTCAGTGACTTTTTTTTAAGTTTTGGAAGAAAATATTCAATATTTTTATGACCTAGAGTAGAAAGGAAACCTTACACAGGATGCAAATAATGCTGACCGTAAAAGAAAAGATTGAAAAATTAGAATACATTAGAAATAAGGACTTTTCTTTTCCAAAAGACATAATAAAGTGAAAGACCAGCTATCCATTGGAAGAATATAATTTTCTACACATGACAATGAATTGGTTTCCAGAATATAAAAAGAAGTCCTACAGATTGATAAGGAAAAAAAATTTACTAGAGAAGGATTAAAAGATAGTTATAGATATTTCACAACAGAAGAAACACAAATGTATAATAAACACATGAAAAAATGCTCAGCCTCATTAGTAGTCAGGGAAATGTAAATTAAGATCACATTGAAGCAATGTTTTACACCATTAGAGATGCAGAATTAAAGTTTGCCAGCACCAAGTGCTAGTGAGGATGTGGATCATTAGGAATTTCTTTTTTTTCCCAAAGACTGGCACCTGAGCTAACATCTGTTGCCAGTCTTCTTTTTCTTCTTCTTCTTCTCTCCAAAGCCCCCCAGTACATAGTTGTATATTCTAATTGTGGGTCCTTCTAGTTGTGGCATGTGGGACACCGCCTCAGCATGGCCTGATGAGCAGTGCTGTGTCTGTGCCCAGGATCTGAACCAGCGAAACCCTGGGCTCCCAAAGTGGAAGGTGGGAACTTAACCACTCAGCCATAGGGCTGGCCCAGGAATTTTTATATATTGCTGATTGTACTTAAAATTTATACAACCACTCTGGAAAACAATTTAATATCTTTGGAAAGCTGAACATGCATGTACTCCATGACACAGCAATTTGACTTCTAAGTATATGCCCTAGAAAAACTCTTGCATCTTGTATAAAAGACAGAGAGGAGCCAGCCCGTAGCTGAGTGGTTAAGTTTGCATGCTCTGCTTTGGCAGCCCAGGGTTTCATCAGTTCAGATCCTGGGCATGGACCCAGCACCGCTCATCAGGCCATGCTGAGGTGGCGTCCCACATGGCACAACTAGAAGGACCCGCAGCTAGAATATACAACTATGTACTGGGGAGGCTTTGGGGAGAAGAAGCAAAAAAAAAAAAGATTGGTACCAGATGTTAGCTCAGGGCCGATCTTTAAAAAAAATGAGAGACAAATAATTCATTGCAGCATGTTCTTAAAAACAAAAGCTAGAAATAACGGAAATGTTTATCTCTGGAGATTAGGTAAAAATATTATGGTGTATTCCCACAGAGGAATATCATATAGCCATGAAAAATAAATGAACTACATCTACATTCTTAAACATGGGTGGATCTTAGAAGTATAATGTTGAATGAAAAAGTCAAATTGCAGAAGACTAAATACATTATGATACAATTTCTATATAAAGTTCAACAAGAAGCCGAATAGTGTATTGTTTAGTTTTATGGTAAAATTATTTCTAAGAAGTAATGGAATGATAAACACAAAATTCAGGAGAGTGGTTACCTCTAAAAGAGGGTAAAAGAGGGAGGGGATAAGTTTCGACAGTACGCAGGAAGTGAAAATGTTCTAGTTTTTGGGTTGGGTCATAGGTTCTTGAGTGTTCATTTTATTATTAGACTTTAAAACTCCCATCTGTATTACATGTATTTTTTTTTTAATGTTTCAAATATCACATAATAATATCAGAGAGAGAGGCTTTCCGGATCTGCCTCCAGAAGGCGAGGCTGCGCCCTGATCCAGGTCCCTCTGACTAGGAAGACAGAGCAGAGCGGAACACACGGGCTTGGAGGGCAGCAGGGCCCTGGAAGGGCGGGAAGCAGAGGGCCAGGAGGAGCCTTTTGGGGGTGATGGATTGCTCATCATCTTGACTCTAGTGATAGTTTCTCAGAGTGTGCTTGGGTCAAAACTCATCAAATTGTACACTTTAAACATGCACAGTTTATTGTACCAATAAAGCTACTAAAATCAAAAGACTGGAATAGGTTGGAGCCCAGCCCTTCTCCCGCCTGACCGATGGGACAAGTCTGTCTTCCTCCCAGGGAGGAGTGCGGGGGTGGCGGACCGCTTCCTCCTGCCCCGCAGACATTCCCTCCTCTCCTTGGAGGATGAGGAGGTGCGTTTTGCTTCTTCCAGCCTAATCACAGTAATGACTTTTCCCCAAAAACGTTGTGTGAATTGTTGGCTATACACTGTTGAGTGAATCCACTTTTTAAAAGGTCAGATACGATATTACCTGAGTGAATCATTTAGAATCTACTCTCCAACAGTTGAGAATCTTAAGATAAAGTAAAATGGATGTTCCTTTTCAATAACTAAAGCATTATTTTGACCTTACAACGCATATGACTTTAACAAATGCCCGCGGTTTTGAAGGGAAGTTTTCCTGACGTTGAGCTCTTCTTGGACGCTTAGACGGTGTGTTGAGACCTGAGGCCCCGGATGAAGAGCAGCACCAGAACAAGAAGCTGCGTCTTGGAAAACACTGAGAAGTCCCGTCTACACCGGAGTGAAGGCCTCGAGACTTTTTGTTGTACTTTTTAAATTCAGCCTTGTTAACTCAGAAAATAAGGATGGATTTTGTGAAGAATTGAAAAATTTTTTAAGGATGCTAATTTATTACTAGCATATGAGTGATGTTAATAAGAATATTTTATTTTAGATTTATTTTTGTGTTTTCCAGATGATAGTGCTATGTTCTTTTATTACACTAAATGGGGTTGCAATAGTGTAATGAGACCAGTTTAACTGTTGCCCATGGGAACTGATTTCTCCTTGTCTTAGCCTTATATTAGCCAGTGTGAAAGAGACTGGGTCACTGGAAGTCACATCTCAGCAGCGAATTGCACACTTTTTAAGTAGTGATTCCTTTGGGTTATGAAGGTGATAATTCGTAAGTTGCTCCAGGGAAATAAGTGATGACTTCGCCTTCTTAAGTCAGTGTGTGGCTCATCGAAAGTACACATTTATACCCAAAGCTTTTAATAATCAAAATTTACTTCATTAGAATTGAATCCTAAAAATGAAGTTGGTGGCCCTGGTCTCCATTATAAAAGTATATTCCTAACAAAGTTATTAATTTTTCTTAAATCTTTCAATATGTAGAAATCACAATGATTTTGGACTCGGGTGTTATATTACTGATTTGGGGTAGTAATAGGAAGAGAATATTATTCTGAGACAATATTACTATTTGATATCACCGACCCTTGAAATCACTAACAATGATTCTCAAATTTGGGTATGATGTTAACAGAGAAGACATATTTTAATCTGGAACATTGAAACTACCTTTTGAATTCCATTCGTAAATGCTGCCCATTTTTCCCTCCATATAATTAACACAGAGTGTCTCGTGGCTTTGAATGGAAGGCCTTTTAAAAAGTTTGCAAACCTTAAGAATACTAAAAATCTTGAAAGTAAACATTGGGGTCAATTCAGTTACATTCTAAATTGCGTTTTGTGAGTCCTCTCATTTTTATTTGCTGAGAAACTTGCAGAAGATTAGTCCAAAGATGGAGGTACCTGTTTTCTACTTTCCTGGAGTTAGTGAGGAGTTGCATGGCCCATGGCTCCCAGGCCTGGGGTGTGACGTCCTGAGGAATGGCTCCCCTGACCGTGGAGAAGTGATCAGCTTTGCCTCTGCTCTTGTCCTTTCCTTTCCATGGCCTCACGAGGCCTCCTGCCAGTTTCTCAGAATTGTACACAGGACAATCCAAATGTTGCCCCGATGCGCCTGCTCGTACAGCAGCCTGCTTAGGTCCCCTGGGAGATCAAAGTCACCATAGCAGGCAGTTGAGAACTGCCAAAGTTGTTTTAACACAAGATGCGGGGTATAGAATAGAGAGGGAGGGGAAGAAAGATACCCTTAGAGACAACTAAGGCTAATTTGAAAACCAGTAGTTACCAATTCCTCAATATTGCTCAACATGAGAATACTGAGGGGCTGGTCCCATGGCTGAGTGGTTAAGTTTGCACACTCCACTTCAGCGGCCCAGGGTTTGGGCGCAGACATGGCACCACTCATCAGGCCACACTGAGGTGGCGCCCACATAGCACAACCAGAGGTACGCACAACTAGAATATACACCTATGTACTGGGGGGCTTTGGGAAGAAGACAAAAAAAAGAAAATACTGAGATTTGCTTACGTCCTCCAATTGCTTTAATATATTGATTATACATGCTTAAGTTCATCTTAGATTTGTTGTTTTTTACTAATATGTCAACTACATCAAATATTTTGTAAATCAATCAACAAATATTTTGTAAGACCCCAAAGCCTGGTATACTGCCAGGTTTATGGATTTATGTCTTGGGCATTGGGGGGGATATCAGAAGGGAGAAACATACAAATAGGAAAAGCTACAATTAGGAAATAGAAAATTGATATTTCCATAGCACCATTAAAATGGTCATGATAAGGCCATATTTCCTTCTATACAACTGTTCAGATTTCAGCCTTTATTGAGAGTTTACTATGTAGTACCAGAAGGAAAGCGCTCTCTCTATATATCTATATATAAATTGTTTAAACTGCTGAATCCAGTGCCTACAACAGTGCCTGGCACATAATAGGCATTCAGTGAATATTTGTTGATTGATCAAATGACTCCTGGATGTTGGCTAGACCCTGGAGATGAGATGTGTAACAAGCACACCCTGATCTCAAGAGCTCACAGTCTCATGGAAGCTACAAGCATGTAATCAAGTAACAGAGAATGATTCCCAGAGTGGGGTCCCTGGACCAGCAGCATTAGCATCACCTGGGGACTGGTTAGAAATGCACCTTCTTAGGGTCCACCCAGACCTGTTGAGTCAGAATCTCTGGGAGTGGGGCCCAGCAAACTGCATTTTCACAGACCTTCCCGGGGATTCTGGTGGTTGAGAACCACCCTGCAGATGTGAGTATAGGAGCAGTGGTGGCACAAAAGAGGCCAAGCATATGCTCTGCTGAGCGTGGAGAAAGGGCCTAGTAGAAGTGGAGGTGCTTATGGTGGGTCCTGAACGGGGCACAGGGAGGGGCCGGACAAGCGGTGGGGATGAGATGAACTTCTGAGAGAAAGTAATGGCTTAGATGGACGGTCCCACTGGGAAGTAGGGAAGGGAAGTGAGTGGGGAGGCCCACAGAGAGCTGAGCTGTACCGTGAGCCCCCAGGGCAGCAAAATTGACTTAAGTCTAGCAATTCACAGTCAAGAGGCTTCATCCCTTAGCCTGAGAAATCAGAATTTGCACTTAAACAAATATCCAATGTCTTCCTTAATTTCAAAGATTGGGAAGTTAATAGTAAGTTGTAATTTGAAAAGAATAGCTTGCATTTGTTTACTGCCAAGGGACAGTAGAGTATGCTGAGACGAGGTGGGGTGAGCATGGGCCAGGTTCACTCCACACCTGTCACGTCAGATGCACACAGGTTTGTGTGTACTGCTGTGTTGTATTACTGCTGAAGCCTTTTAGTTTATCCAGCTTTTCTTTGGGTTTTTCTTCCTCCGTTACTTATTGAGTTTGAAAATATACCTTTCTCTCATAAATCTTCCTCATTTTACACATGAACATTCTGCTTTAGGATCTGCCACAACACTCTGCCTTTGACCCACCCTAGAGCAAGCAGCATTGAACACCATTTTTTAAAGTCCTGGTCCTGCCGTTAGCGGCCACTTGGCATCTAGCTGAGGCTGTTACTGTTGCTTGTTAGGATTAAGCATCAGGTTAGTACTTTCATTCAGGTGTAACATTCCTGAAGTCTTTTCATTTTTTTGCTATCATTAAATTATAACGTATTTAAGACATATCAAAAAAGTATAAAGAAATAGTTATGACAAATACTCATGTACCAAGATGCAGGATTAACTATATTAACACTCGGAGTCTTGGTCATAAGGAATTCAGTCCTCTTGTGAGATCTAGGTTAGAGCCTGCCTTTGCATCTTTTCTACGTTTGCTCTCTGGGGCACATCCTCACTTCCTGAAAAAACGTCCATGCTCAGGCAGGACCGGTGTTTCAGAGGCAGCCAGAGAGCCTCTCAGAGCCATTGCCAAGGGAGCTATGATTACGCCTCCTTCTGAGAGACTTTATAACCAGTCTGTTTCATTGACTTCAGTACCTTTTGATGGTCAGATTTCTTCGTTCTCCTTGCCTGTGATACTTTTCCTGGTAGGAAAAGATAACCAGCTGCTCCAACCTGGGTGACCCAGTTCTGGTTAGCAGGGGAGGTGTATTGGCCCAGAGTCTCTGTGGGTTTTCTAACTTCTTTGTAGCTGAGCATATGGGTCTCCTACCACTTGTACTGCAGCCCGTTGTGCAACACAGTGAAGGAAGTGTCCTAACTCGGGTCGCGGAGGCTTGCTTCACCTCCCAGAGAAGGTGACTCTGAGTTACGGCTCAGGCCACCTCCATGACATGCTGACTCTGGAGCTTAGGCCTCTTGTTTCAGGCCGACATGTAGGTGTATGGTACCATTCATTCTAGTCCTGAGCACCCACAGGCCACACGCTGTGCGAGACTCTCTGCTCTAAATCGAAACTGTAATTTGCTTTGGACATTTTTTAAAATAAAAGAAATTAAATTTTTACTATCAAATTTCATAAAATTGAATTTTGAGAAGTTTAAATAAATTTGTTCAGTAGCAGACTGCAAAAATAAGCTTTATTTTCCAGCGTTGACAAGTGGACCTTTACCTCCTAGCACAAGGTTAAAGCTATGAGTTATTGCAGATCCTACCTGAAGGATGTGTCAGAAAATATCTTTACTGATATTCTAGAGTAGCTGTACTAGCCTTGCTAGAGTTTTGTCTTTTGTTTTTATAACACAGGAAAATCAACATGGATGAGGGTTTCCCGAACTTGGCGATACTGACATTCTGGGCCAGGTGATTCTTTGCTGGGGGGGGTCGTCCCGTGCGCTTTATAACGTTTAGCTGCATCCCTGGTCTCCACCTCCTAGATGCCAGTAGCAACTCTCCACCCAGTATGACAACCACAGATGTTCCCTAGGGGGCAAAGTCACCCCAGCTGAGAGCCACTGACAGAAACCATCAAGCGAGTATCAGTGTTTATTTCCCTACACCTGCCTGAGTGGGTCAGACTGAGGGCCGTTCATCTAGCACCACGGTGACACCTAAGGCTTTTTTCATGGTCAGATACCAAAATCTGCAAATGACAAATTCCACTGTGTCATCGTCAAATGCCTTAAAGAAATGAGGTTTAGGATGGATGAGTCAAAAGCACTCCTCTATTTTAACTTAGAGGGGAAATGCTTATAACCCATAGCTTTTGCTTGGTTTCATTTCTGTTTTTCAGGTTACTGATAGATATGAATCAGCCAGACTATTTTTTAAACACTCTCAACCTGCAGTAATTTTTTCTACCTGTTTCCAAAGGGTAATGGAAGGTCTGAAGAGTTGCCACACTTACCCAGGCTATACAGAAATCAATCAAGAGTTCAAATGTGGGGGCGGGGGCGGGGGCGGGGGGGAGCAGGGCAGGGCGTTGGTCACAGCTGGATGTCATGTAGCGCCAACCTGACTTGCTTCTCTCTGGAGCAGAGAATTGAGTCTATTCTTTTTGCCTCCCAGTGTAGAAAAGTGAAACGCCTGCCTCATGGCCTTAGTTGGCATACACTCACTCAGTTCGTTTCGCAAGGATCAAGCACACTGTTTAGCATGATCAATTTTATCTAATTGGTTGACCAAGTAGGCCTTTAATTTCTTGTATCAGCATTTGACATGAATCTTAAAGTCCTTGATATTTTTAATGCAATTACTGTTGACCATTAAAAATCCAGTGGATCTATTTAATATTGTGCAGCACTCTTCTAGCATTTAGGCTGATTTATTGAATATCCTGGCCCCAAGTAAAACAAGCCCCATTAATCAGTACCAGTTGAAAGGGAGGCCCATTTAAAATGCAGCACCTGATGCAAGTTTTAATTTAGAAGCTGGCCCGTAAAAATGTGTTCAATGAGCTGCAATTACATAGACTCGGATTTCAAGGGAACTTGGATCTCATCTGTTTAGCACACTCCTTTTACAAATCTGGAAACGGGAGAGTCGGGAAGGTGGAATGATTTCTTAAATACTGGTTCAGAACGTGGCAAGGGCCCGATCCAGCAGTATCAGGATTTTTTTCATTTTCAGTTCTGTTTTTAATGTAAGTGCACATTTGTCCTATACACATGTTAACAAGTTGTCTGATTTTAACGTGGGTTACAGTGCTAAATTCAAAGATTTCCATTATTTTAAATTTAGTCATTTCCTAGTAAAATTATACCTACGCATTTTAAATGATCAAATAGCTTCGTAAACCTCACTTTGAAGCAGGAGTCTCTCCCAATCCTATATCCCACCCTCCCCACGGGCAACCACGCTTGGCTGTTTCAGCTGATTCCCTTCTATTTATCTCTAAATCACATGCCTGTATTGTCCCTTAATGGTTTTTCACTTTTAGGTGTCCTATTTTGAATTTCTGTTATGGAAGAGCTTTCTTCCACCTCACTCTCCTCTCCACACACTTCCGTCTTTCCATCCTCCCGATGTTGTTGCACTTTTATTTTGGTTGCATCCATAGCCACTGTTTCTTATTATGACTATGTAAATGCTGTTCATGGCTTTGTCATGCTGTATGCTATGATTACTTTTCCTTTCCTTATTGAACTTATTTGCCTGGTCCCTGGGGATGGGCTGGGACCGGATCCCACCAGGGCCTGCAGACCAATCGTTCCGAGAACTCTTCCTAAGGAGTCGTTGCTAGGGGCCTGGTAATGGTTTGACACCTGCAGGAAGGGGCACCCGCTCTGCTAGGCATTCTCTGGCCAACCGCTCCCCCTGCCTTTTGATGACACAGGTTCTGGATGAGCTGAGGGGAGACAAGGATGACACAGAGAAAGCAAGGTTGGCCCTTTCTTTTAAAAATGCCACAGCAAGTGAGACACCAGCAGCAGCAGCAGCAGCATATATTTACTGAATCTACTGCTTTGGTCCAAGCCCCTAACTCAAGAAAATGTGAACACTGATGGAAAAAGGGGGAGGCACTAGTTCAAATTGCCTAGCCAACTTTTTTAAGAAAACAGAAATCTCCAAAGAGCCTTTTTGCATTCTAAGTGGTAAGCCAAATAACAGTTTGTTAACTGTGTCCTAATAGTTCATTTCAGCTAGCACGATGACTGTATAGTCAATGTGGGGTCTCCAAGCAGGGTAGTTGGCTCCCTGTACATGCTAGAATAATTGATGCTTTATGTACCTGACAACCTTTTCATAGCCCTTTACACAATCATGTGTATTTATGACTGTTTTATAAAACTTCAAGAATAATTTTTTTTTTTGAGGAAGATTAGCCCTGAGCTAACATCTGCTGCCACTCCTCCTCTTTTTGCTGAGGAAGACTGGCCCTGAGCTCACATCCGTGCCCATCTTCCTCTATATGTGGGACGCCTACCACAGCATTGCTTGCCAAGCAGTGCCATGTCCGCGCATGCGATCTGAACCAGCGAGCCCCAGGCCACCAAAGCGAACATGCATAGTTAACCGCTGTACCACCCAGCTGGGCCCTCAAGGATAATTTTACTGTTGAAATGGATTATGATGTTTTGCTGTTGTGACCATGCTTGTTAATCGTACCTAAGAGTCCTCTGAAGTCAACGACTTCCCCAGTTAGGGCAGTGAAGCGTAGAACAGGGGGCTTGCTGGGTTACATTTGCTAAAAATGAGACATGCATTTCTTTGGACTCTCAAGATTCTGACTCTGAACTCACCTGGTCCAATGTTCATCCATGGAGACACTGATGGCATTTGGAGTGCGATCATTTCCCACCGTTTAGGACCATCTTGAGCATTGTTGGAGATATAGTACCCCTGGCCCACACCCATCAGATGCCATTTGAATCACCCAGAAATCTGAACAATAAAATGCGCCCCCCGGGGAGCTGGGGTGGGGGACTGCGCTCAGCTGAGAACCACTGATCAATCCACCCACCGTGAGTTGCTGCATCTCCCTTTCAACTGTCCTCTAAAGAGGACAGGTCAGCCAGCCCTGCCCTCACACCCCTGGCCATGAAGAAATCACCACCTCCTAAGGCCACATTTTTTTTTTTTTAAAGATTGGCGCCTGAGCTAACAACTGTTGCCAATCTATTTTGTTTTTCTTTCTGCTTTTTCTCCCCAAATCCCCCCAGTAAATAGTTATATATCTTAGTTGTGGGTCCTTCTAGTTGTGGCATGTGGGAGGCCGCCTCAGCGTGGCCTGATGAGTGGTGCCATGTCCACACCCAGGATCCGAACCAGCAAAACCCTGGGCCACTGCAGCGGAGCGCGTGAACTTAACCACTTGGCCACAGGCCTGGCCCTCTAAGGCCACATTTGAACTCGACTCATTACTACACTGTTATTTTTATGGCATAACCCCTCCCCCTCCCCGTCCCTCCCTCATGTCCATCGTTAGTCCTTGGTCTAGAACACAGACCTCTTTGTGTCTCATCTGCTTCCACATGAATGCCCTTCAGTACTTGAAAGTGGCCATTGTGTTCCTGCTGTCCCATGACAGCCCCACCTCCCCTGGAAACTTGCTGTGTCATCATACAGAGGTTCGCATTTTATGATAAAGCACTTTTTATATCACCTCCTTTAGTTTCCACACAATGATGGAAGGATGATCATTTCTACGTTACAGAAAATAAAGTGGAGTTTCAGGTTCGATGACTTACCCCAGGCCACACTGCTAGTAACTGGCAGAGCCAGAACGTGAATCTGGTTCTTCTCCAAATTCAGTGCCTGTCATAATTTTCCCAGTATTCACTAAATTTGGTCGAGTCTCTCCCTCTCTGATGTCTTCTTTTTTTCCATCTCCAACTCTGCTCGTCTCTCATGGTAGAAGGCATCAGTGGCCCCAACTGTTCACCCTTTCTTGTGTCTGCATCCTTTGCCATATAGCTTTGCAAGTTTCTCCCATCAGTGAATGGAGTATATTTTTCCACCCTTGATTCTGGGTTCAACAGAATGAAGAGAAAATGTCATCATGCCAGTTCTGATATGAAGTCTCAGAACGTGTTCTTTTACATTTCTGCCATCACCAGACACAAGGAGCAGAGCCACCTCGGGCAGCCTACCTAGATTGGGTGACCCCCAGCCAACCCACAGACTTGCAAGAAAAAATAATTGGTTTTCTTTAACTTACTGAGTTTCGGGGGATTTGTTCCGCAGCACTTGCTAACTGATACATTTCTCCAAGCTTCAGAAAACCTTTACCCATTGTGCTCCTTTCCCTTCATTACTCGAAAGCCTGTGGCAGCTTCCTCAACATCTTCATCTTTCGTTTACTCCTCAAACCACTGCTGCCTTTCTGCCTCACTCTCCCTGTGGGAGGGTTCTCCCCACTCCTGGCAGCCACATTCTTCCTGGTCCCTGCAGCCTTTAGTGCTGTGCATCGTCCTGTGCTTTGGAAACTCCTGCCTTGGCTTTCACGACAGTTCCCAGGTTTCTCGTCTCCCTGCTCTCCTCCCAGGAGTCTCCCTGTGCCCTCTTTGCTTCTTGCTTTGCTTCCCTCTCTTCAGGAACCCCATCCTCTCCACGACCTCAAGAACCACCAAAG